GCATGCTCTTTGCAACTTAGCTCCCCATCACCTTTTTTATACAGTGGCATAAAGTCAATTATTTTTCCATCTGAGTGAATTGACTCAATTATGACTAGGAAAAGTTACTTCCGATAAGAATTCAGGATTACTTCCAGGACAATATCCACAGTAATAAAATATGAATTTTTGGAAGAAGTATAGCTGGTGTTCATTTTGCCACAAAAAAGAAGATAATTTCCTTTTGCTTACCTACCCTGAGATCTGATATAGTTACGGGCAACCATGGACATGTTTTGTTTTAAGGATAACTGGATTTCCCTTAGAAAGACTTTGTGTGGCTTTTGAGTTTTCTAGCACTCTAGATTGGAAACTGTCAGCCTTTCCAGAAACACCAGACATGTAGCACGGCCAGAAGAACTAATTCTAAACTACTTGTAAGTTTACTGTACATCTCAAATCTCCCCCTGCCCCCCCAATCTCCTTTGCAGCCAAGAAACTAGGGTGGGTCCCTTCTGAGCTGCTTGCCCTATCCACATTCTGCTGCTTCTCTTTTATCTCACCACTTATCTATCCATCTCCTTGGCTGCATCTGTGATTCCCAAAGTCATTCCCACATGTCATTACAAAAAATGAGTAGCACAGGACATACTTTTCACGGAGACGTAAAAATGAATGGATGCATTGGCTTCCCCATTGTCTGCAAAAAATATATATTCGCCACTGTTTTTTTCCTTCATCGAATTCACCCTGAGTGTATTGTTGTGTCTATCAAAAGAGAGAGCAAATATGCATGTAAAAATGTTAAGAAGCGATTGTAATACAAGATCTCCATAGCGACAGATTATTATTTTGTGAGCTTTATTTTGTGGTATGCTAGCTTTCAAAAATATATTGAATAGAAATAGGAAAGAAAACATCATTCAAATCATGTCTAAGACAGTTATCAAACAACCTTCTCATCTGTCACTATTCAATACAGGGCACACTATATTGAAAATTGCAGCAGCTTCTTCCTGGTAGATCTAATTGGTAGAGTCAAAACTGGCTGGAGAAGTAAGTCCTGGGAATATCTGGCAAGCCATGGATAACATTTGTAGTTTAAAACTGGTACTTTAATTAGAGAAGAAAACCAGATGGCAAATAATGCAGGGACTGTGAAACTGATGGAGTTGAAACTATACATTTTGAACCAGCTGTAGTTTCTAAATATTCTTTAACAGCAGTCTCCTGTAAAGTGGATTGCCTTGGTCCAACTAGATGATAATGACAGCATGAGTAGCTAAGTCCTCTGAAGGAATGGAAAATACCACCTAGCTTTTACCTTTGATGACCAAAAACCATGTGGCCAATGTTTGTGGGCTTTCCTGATGGGTTTACATGTATCCATCTATACGTTGAAGGTCTAGGATACGCGTCAATGAGCACATGAAGGTTCAGGTTTTGATGCATGTTCATCTCCTGAATTCTGTTCTGTAATGTGGACAAACGCAGATATCCTTTCTCTGGAAAGCAAAGTAGGATGTTAATCTCTAAGGAAGTGAAGGTAGAAAGCTATTTCCTTGAGGAAAATAACTTGATTCTTAGTAGATTTGTTCATCACATGCATAATGATGATGATCACTGAGGAGTCCAGCAGCAAAACAGCACATTCCAAAGCAAAAATAAAGTACTTAAAGCTGTCCCCACCTTTCAGCTACTCAGGAATGACCAATGAGCCTGTTTCGATTGCAGAGGGTCATTTTGAAGGGTAGACCAAACCCAACTAATTCCTGCAGTATTCACAAGGAGCAGCCATGATGCTACATGATGCACTATTGCATGCCCATGATCCATTACCTGCCACAGCCAATAGTTACTTTTGTATGCAGAATTTAAAAATCCCACAGGAAGGACTTCGTTCAATTCATTATCTCCATTCTGGTGGCTTTGAAATACATGGGATTATTATTTCCACAATCCCATATGATTGATTGGGCCACTACAACTGGAAGGCACCCTGTTAGGGAAAGCTGATTTAAAGAATTCTGATCTGATCTTTAACCCTGAAAGTGATTTACAAGGTGGCTTACAAAATCCAGTAGACAGACAATTGATGGTCTTACAAAAGAAGCAAACATGAACATGAACTGATGAAAGGACCGGGACAGAATACTAACTTCATGTTTCTGGAGTTGGGATGGGAGTGTCTGAGCCAGGGGTGTCAAACTCAATTTCATTGAGGGCTGCATCAGCATTGTGGTTGCCCTCGGGGGGGGGGGCGGCCTACTGGGTGGGCATGGATGGAGTGAGTGTGGCCTACTGGGTGGGCATGGCCAGCTCTACATCGTTCGCATCAAGGGTGCCTGGGGGGGGCTGGGCAGGAGTGGGACAGATCTGAGGGTCTCTGGCAGAAGGGGGTGGGACTAGGGCAAGCGCCAAGGCATGGTCCATTTCTTCATTCCTCACAAAGGGTGACACCTCCCCAGCATGCACCCAGGGGTTGGGGCCGACACAGCAGTGGCTGGTTCCTTGCTGTTTCTAGATGGCCAGTGTAGCTAAGACTGAATGTGTTTCAGCATAGATGGCCACCACAAAATTGTACATTGGCTCCCAGCTGGCCTGGGCCAGGGTCAAGGTAGTGGGGGCCGTTCCCTCACTGTTTCCAGGATGGCTTTGCGGGCCATATGAAACCACTTCACCGGCTGCATCCGGCCCCGGGGCCTTGTTTGACATGTCTGATCTAAGCTTTTGATTTCTTTTAGGTGTATCTGGAAGGTAGAAAAATTGGTCATAAATGTGTTGAACTTATGCACTGATACTGGATTTTATGGACAAAATTTGATAGGAGCAAGGTAGTTGAATTACCCCAGAAACTTGCCATTCAAAATGCTGGAGAGATGAATGGAAATATGGGATGTGGGAAAACAAGATATCTATGTCCTTAAAACATCCATTTTTGAAAGTATTATAAATTTTATTCTATCTTGAATTTTAAAAGAGAATAGAAAGCAATGCTACATTTCATCTGAAAACTTTGCAGTAGTTATACTAATTAATCTGAAGTACCTGGGAATTTTCATATTTTATAGTTGTATATTTTTCCTGAGCCATGAAGAAAAATTCTTATATAACACATTTGTATTTTAGAAAATATTAAGAATTTCTGTCTTTATCATGTAACTTCCTTACTGAGAGACTATCATACTAAATAGTAGACAACCTTTGATAATTCTTCTCATGCAGGTTTGATCATTCTTTTCATATACTGTTTGATAATTCTTCTCTGGAAAAAGTTCAGAGAAGAACAACTAAGATGATCAAAGGCCCGGAGACTAAAACATATCAAGAATGGCTGCAGGACTTGGGTTTGGCTAGTCTAAAGAAAAGAGGAAATAGGGGTGACATGATAGCAGTATTCCAGTATTTGAGGGGCTGCCTCAAATACTGTAATATTGGGTCAAATTATTCTCCAAAGCACCAGATGGCAGGACAAGAAATAATGGTTGGAAACTGATCAAAGAGAGAAGCAACCTGGAATTAAGGAGAAACGTCTGCATTAGCAGGGCGCTGGACTAGAAGACCTCCAAGGTCCCTTCTATTCTATTCTATTCTATTCTATTCTATTCTATTCTATTCTATTCCATTCCATTCCATTCCATTCCATTCCATTCCATTCCATTCTATTCCATTCCATTCCATTCCATTCCATTCCATTCCATTCTATTCTATTCTATTCTATTCTATTCTATTCTATTCTATTCTCATGCACTGTGTTTATTCATTTCTGATTGATTTAACTGATATTCCATATTTCTGTTCATAAAAACCCTCCAGTCAGCTAACACAATGTAAAAACTCCACAGAAACAGAATGAAAACAACCTCATTAATAAACTGGAATGGTGTTTTGGATACACAAAGCCTATTTTTATTGGTGAGGGGAAGAAGGTTTTCCTTGTAATTTCACCTACCTAGTACCTGGAGAGTAACCGAAGCATTTACAACTGTTTGAGAAATTTCCCCAAGACAAGTATATTTTCCACCGTCTTGTAACTGCACTGCTGGAATGAATACGGTAAAATCAGTTGTGTATGACTGAGCTAATCCAGTATCAATTTCCATCTCATTCGTGCTGGCCTGTGGTAAGAAAAGGCAGATGTTTTTGTGCTGATTTGGAGATAGGAGCTCTTTGTCCCCATTATCTCCAATTAAACCTTTTCCAGACTGTAGGGCTTTTCCGTGAACAGGGCTGGTCCTCCACTTATATTTTGTTAACCCCAATTGTTTATGTTAATTAGTGCTTCAGATATATTTCAGATTATGCTAGTTCCTAAACAACAGGCTATGAAATAATGGTTTCACATCTGTATTAGTTAAATATAAAAATATACTGAAGTATAAATTGTTTTACAAGCTAATTAAAGTATGTAGAAAGCAAAGAAAGCAAAGACATAAGATTCATCAGTACATCCCTTTGATAAATAAATATCCTTTGGTTCCTTCTACCTCTATTGGAAATGACTGAGGTTTGTGTTCACACAATAAGGCAGTTTGAAGATTCGAGACACTCGGAAATTGTTAAAAAACAACCTGGATTAAATGATCAGGATGCAAAAGCAAATCAATCTGGAGAGCTGCAAGTTTAATGCACAGTTGAAGCAGCCTTCTTCAATTTGATTGCCTCAAGACTACAACTCCCATCGCCCGAGCCAGCCAATAGCCTCATGATGCCTGGACCTAGCCATGATGATGCCAAAATGATGACACATGTGTCATTTTGCAAACTCTGCCATTTTCTAATTGTGTCACAATATTCCACCCAAATATCTAAGGAGCAGAGTTTTCATTGTGACATTGCAGCACATATTAAATCATCAGATACTCATGAATGACTTGTTGGTTATGGATGTTTAGACATTGTCATTCAACAGCTCTGGAAGACAGGTCTAAGTCCTTGAATGAATGGGCTCATATAAGCCACAAGAATCTCTGAGTTCATGCAAGACAATCAATACAAGCTAAGGCTCACATCAAAAACTCTTAGAAATGGCTTACGTTTGCAGTAGGGGGACAGATCCATTTGCCATGATATTCAGAAGAGTGATATTGTACTCTGCAGGAAATGTTGAAAGGTTCTCCTTGTAACCGCACTTGGTCCTTTATTCCTTCAACAGTAACTGTTAAAGGCTGAAGGTTGTCTGAAAAAGTCAGAAAAGTCTGTTAAATACACACTGAGCTAGAAAGGCTTGTCAGTACAAGAAACCTAACATCTTCATCTTTTCTTATGCTTCCCTTTGCTATTTCTGCCTAATGATGGGACATTGTTTTAAGCTTCTGACCCTTTCAGCATCTTTTCCAGCAACATTTTGACACAAGGGATTAAGACGTTATCCCAGTTTTTCATGGAGGGGATGTGTGTCCCCATTTTAACCCAAATTATTTCAAACCAGTTTGGCAGTGACAGTAAAGAACAACTAATGTACTGAAGCAGCTATTCATTGTTCTGCCAATTTAGACAATTGTTCTTTGTTGATTGATATTGATCCAGCATTGCACAGCAGAATGAATATATAAAATTTGGAATCAACCTCTCCACGTTGAAAAAACGAACAACATGCACTGGAGCACTTTTTCTAACTGCTGCCAGAACACCTGTCCCAAAAGGCTTGTAAACACATGTTCAAGTAGTTACAAAAGAGCAGTTCCAACCTACCATAAATAGAAAGGATAAGTCTGGGTGAAATCACCCACTGTCCTTGAACCTGGGCTTTACACTCATAGGACCCTTTATCACTCAGGTCTACTTTGTGAATCCATATTCCTTCCTTAGGTCTGAATGAGACTTCTGAGTCAACTGGAGAAGAGTCTTTAAGGAGGGTCATGTTGCCTGTGAATCTTGGGTTGGCAATCAGGCACGGAAGCAAGGCATCCCTGCCCCTTTCCACAGAATAATATACATTCTGAAGGCCACACCACACAGAGTCAGGATCTGTAGAAGAAATATGTTAGGAATCCATATGGTAGCTTAGCATGCCTAGAAAAAACAGCTGAAAGCAATCTAAAATAAGGTTGTGGTGACTTGGTGGTGAGAGCAAAATCTCTGAGCTCAGGTATTCTCTGTCAGTAGAGGCCTCTCTCTCTCTCTCTCTCTCTCTCTCTCTCTCTCTCTCTCTCTCTCTCTCTCTCTCTCTCTCTCTCTCTCTCTCTCTCTCTCTCTCTCTCTCTCTCTCTCTCTCTCTCTCTCTCTCTCTCTCTGTGTGTGTGTGTGTGTGTGATAATTTTTGTTTATGAGATATATTTTTTGCCTGAACCCAGCATACACTAGACAATGTACAGATATTAATTATAATAGAAGTAATAACAGGATCCACTCTGGGCCGGTCACCGGGACCAGAGGTTTAGTCTTCTGAGCTTTTGGACTCTTGCTGGAGCCCATCCTCAGGGAACTGCTCTCTCACATTCTGGGGACCCAGATTGGATCCTGCAACATTATCCTGGGATAGGGATATTTGCCTTCATTCGTAAAAATAATAACAATGCATATAGTAGCCAATCGATATCAAGTAGCTTGGTGTTGACTCCATTAATATCTGTAAAGTCAGTCTTGTCTCAGGAGGGCATTCCTCTCATTGTGCATCATGGTAGGAAAGGATCTTCAGCAGGACTCTGTCTCCCTCATTGAATAAATAGGCCCTAAATTGGTCCCAGGCTCCAAGACTTACAGGGCTTTATATGTGATAACTTGCACCTTCAACCATGCTCAGAAATGCACAGGTAACAATTTCAAAGCAGTAGTGCAATGTAGCAGTAATGCATTTTGCGGCTGTTAAAGTCTCTGTGTGGTCTTCAAGGGCAAATCTTTTGCCCATGACCACCATTTGCTCACCCAGCAGGAGCTGTGAATCCAGACTCATTTATTATATGCCATCAAGTCAGTTTTGACTCTTAAAAAACACATCAGTGCTGTATATTTTCCCTAGGACGATTTGCTTGGCAACCTCATCCTTCAGATCTTCCAGTTGTGAATCAAAAAGGACTCCCAAACTGCAGGTATATTCTCCTAGGGACACAATCTGGCCAAGAGTCAAGATTGATAATCTCCTAGGATTGTAGACATCTGAATTAACAACTGACTCTTTTGCTTGAAGGGATTCCATTCCATGAGTCATCCAAATGAGCTAATTTCTCATGGTGGAACTGGACAAATTTGCAGCAGGGATTTCCCATGATTGCTTTGTTTCAAATGTGAAAAAATATTGGTATAGTTAAGCCTTACTGAAAAAAATTACTTTCAAAGGGAGTCAGTTTCTAATCCTGCTGGCCTAAGTTTTTCGTCTCCCACCAAGTGCCTTTGCCACCTGATGGAGAAAGACCCTAACATATCCTCAGCAGGCTTAACACTCCACACTTTACAACCCTTCCATCCTCTGTAAAAACACTGACAGCTGACAATGGATGGGGAACACAATCCATCTACTCCCCTAATTCTCAGTCACTGTTTACTTATGCATGTGCAATGATTTATTTCCAAAGCATATGACAGATAATAAGGAGAAATCTGGTTACCTGTCACAGCCACATATATAGTTCTAATCCCCTCTTCTGGCTTGTTGATATAAGCACACTGGTAGCTTCCCATCTGGTTGCAACTAGCCTCTGGCACGTAGAGGGTGCCATTGTCATACATGATCACGGTGGACCCATTCTGGATACCGATCCACTCAACAGGGAAATTCCCTGAGCAAAGTAATTTGACTGAGTCTCCTAGCTTCACTCTCAGAATGTCAAGATTAGGGTAGATGGTGGGAGAAGCTGAGCCTAAAATAAAGAAAAAGAATATTATTTTTTGTTATCTTCCAATTCTTCATTCTGAGAAACATTTTTTAAAAAAGTGAGTCAGGGTGGCTGGAATGCTATTGCTTTGTACTCTCTCTCTCTCTCTCTCTCTCTCTCTCTCTCTCTCTCTCTCTCTCTCTCTCTCTCTCTCTCTCTCTCTCNAGAGAGAGAGAGAGAGAGAGAGAGAGAGAGAGAGAGAGAGAGAGAGAGAGAGAGAGAGAGAGACGATTTGGCTGCCCTTCTCACAATAGTGATTCTGGATAGCAAACAAAGATTAAAAAAAAGTTAGAAACAACACACCATAATTCCCTAGGTAAATGATCTAATCCTAAAATGACATTAAGAACCAAGCTTGCTTACCCTTCTGGGGTAAAGCCAAGTCTTCAGATTCTTATAAAAGGCTAAAAGGATCAGGGCTATCTGAATCTCTGCACCACAAGTCTATAGAAGGCTATAGAAGGCTTCCCTTCTGCACTCTACATCAACTCACTATCCTTTGTAAGTTCTCTCATAGCAGTTCTGGTTTGAAATTAAAGACAGAGGGAATCACAAAATAATATTGTCTGCTCATGGTTGCTGGGCCCCAGCTGGCCTTAATCTTTTACCAAAGAAAGCCATGGTTATTTTTGGTATTCTTCCAGTGGATGGAGCCACAATCTCATGCCTTTTTGTGACAGTTACATAACCAACCATGATACCCTATTCAGTTCTACAATCCAGCTTCTCTCTTCCTTTTCTTAGTCCCACAATGAAAAACCAACTGTATGTCCTTTTTTGCCGTGCATAACTAACCCTTAGTAAACTGGAGTCCATACCTAGAGAATTCAGTGGGTGTAAAGGAAATGTCACTTCATTATTCATTGTGCATTTTATTCAAAGTAGTCCTCGACTTACAACTACAATTGGGACCAGAACTTCCATTGCTACGCAAGGCAGTTGCTAATTGAGTCAAACCCAATTTTACAACCTTTTTTTGCCACAGTTATTAAGCAAATCACTGCAGTTGCTAAGTAAATCACACAAGGTCATTAAGCGAAGTCAGCTTCTCCCTTTGAGTTTGCTAGTCGAAGCTGGCTGATAAGGTTGCAAATGACAGTCAGCAATAGCAACAGCTCTTAAGACTTACATACCTCTCCATAGTGCTTTACCGCACTCTCGGAGCAGTTTACCAATGTCACACATATTGCCCCCAACAATCTGGGTCCTCATTTTACCGACCTGGGAAGGATGGAAGGCTGAGTCAACCTTGAGCCGGTCAGGATCGAACTCCTGGCAGTGGGCAGAGTTAGCCTGCAATACTGCATTCTAACTACTGCACCAACAGGGCTACTGGTGAATCACTGAAGTTGTCACATAAACCACACAAGGCCATTCAGTGAATCCAACTTCCCCCTTTGAGTTTGCTTGTCGAAGCTGGCTGATAAGGTTGCAAATGGCAACCGTGTAACCATGAAAAGCTGCAACTGTAGTAAATACACGCCGTCACCAAGCTCCTGACTTTTGATCACGTTACCATAGGGATGAGGTGATATTCATAAGTATGAGGACCAGTTGTCCCTTTTTTTGGTGCCACTGTAACTTCAAACGGTCACTACGTAAATGGTTGTAAGTCAAGGACCTGTGCAGCCTCTGCAGTGTCTAGCCTCCACTTTTGTTTTCCTTCTTGATCTGCCCTTTTCATCCAAGATCAACAAAGAAATCTTTATTTTTGAATGTTGGAGCAATTTTCTGCAGTCAAACTGAGTTCAGAAAAGCCTTCTCTTTAGGGGTTCTGGCAATCACCCTTCTTTGAGGCACCCCCTTCTTTTTCCTAGAACACAATGTTTCTCTCCCTTTGGGGTGAAACTCACCTTCTTCTCCAGCCTTTTTCTGCCACTTGGGCCATTTCCCTTTCCGGTAAGAGAAAAAAACCTTTCTGTTCCCCCATTGACCTCTCTGGAGCCTTAGCCAGCCAGCTGGTCTCTTTGTAGACAGAATGCTCTCAGATATAATTTGTTTTTGCAGTTTTACAGTGAAACAGAGGGTTCTCTTTGCTCAGATAATTTTTTGTTGTTGTTCCCATTTGGGATTTCTGCTCATATATTTTCGATATATCTGGTCCAAATTCAGGCTTTCTTGAACAGTTGTGTTTGTTTCATACAGACAGAGACATCAGAAAGAAAACAACTAAGTTTGAAATAACTTCATTGCTTTCAGCAGACTTCTTAAATTGCGACTTTGGCTCTGGTGGTCTGAGTGGTGTATGTGTGTTAGCCTACATTCTTAAAGAGAACATTATTTCAGACATATAGATGGAGCCTATGGTTCTGAATGGAATTAAAAAAAAAACCTTTCACATTTCTCATACGTGTGCAGACTTTCTCTATTTGGGCTTATTATTATTATTTATTGAATTTATATACCGCCCTATCTCTCTTACGGGACTCAGGGCGGTGAACAGGCGATAATAAAAACCACGATAAATATACACAAGTTTCTGTTC